ATTTCTGTATTGACACACATTGCTAAATAATAATAATAATAATAAAAAAATAGTTCACTGAACTCACATTAACCCATTGTTGTCACTCCATAAGGGATAAACTGTCACAATCTGGTGTTTAAAGACATTGACCTGAGTACTGTGGATCATGAAATCCAGTAAGCCTTGTGCAGGTTGTTCTATCATTTGGCCTGTAGGTGGCGACAAGTGACCATCTTAATATGAGTGATCCACTGATTCATTTAGGAATGAGACACACCACTACTTGTGTGTTGCTCGAAAAAAACTAAACAATGGTTGATTATTAATATCTTGTTTATTGAACTGTTGTATAAAAGTAATACCGCATTCACATTATTCATACTGGTAATACCGCCGTATACAGTGCTAATAGTATTACTGACTATTAGCAGACAGCCTGATATTGCTTAACTATAAAACTGAAACTTTTATGTCCAGACTTGCCATTTGCCTTTTCAGTTAGAACCTCCATTTCACAGTCATCTCTTGTATAACGTTAGTCAGAGTGATTTTTTTGTGTGTGTGTGTGTGTGATCTTGTTTACCCAGAAGTTCATAAAAATATATAAGGATTTTATTATTAAGGTCATAATTCACAAACATTATTCTAATCTAAGACTATTTGGCCCGTGTTTGAAACCGTCATACAAAACTACTACTCATAAAAACACAAATTTGTTAACTAGAGTTCTGACTCAAAACGAGTTACTGAACCAGCACTTGTAAAAAGTAATAAATACATAGTTTTTTTTTATTATTATTATTAAGAAACACACAGACACACACACTTGTTTAACATACACTGACCCTGTAATTAAGTTGTATTTTCACACTATATGGGGGTACGTTGTCAGAACAAAACCTGCGGATTGATTGCCACTGATTTGAGAAGAATGGCCTGGTTTTCATGCAACTGGATTTTTGACTCAGAGGTATAGACTATGTGGCCAATAGTCCAAGTCTGCCCTACTAATAGCTTAATGACAAATACTAAGACATATAAAGTGTTTAAAAATACACTTCTGGGCGTTTCTTCAACTAGGGGCACTTTTATCCTTGTGAAGTTGAATAAAAAAAACTTGAAGTGATTATTTTCTCTTTAATACAGATGATTAGTGTTACAGTAGCCCAATTCCACAGGAAAACCGCGGACTTGGCAACACTATGACGGATAGAAATGTCTACAATGAACACGAGCGCTGTCTTGGCGTGACCACAACAGCTTTAAGTTGTCTAATTTGGCACAGTCTCCCTGCTGCACTAGTAGTAGTAAGCCATTCCTCTGTGAATACATATCCTTACAAGTACAATTTTAGCTGTATTATTTGTGTCCTTTTCAAAGATTGCTCTTGAGAAATTTTATGTTTACTGTCCCCCCCTACTGTTAGACGAAATTTACGCCCCTGTGTGTGCCTTGTGTCCTGCCCTGCCAAGCCTTGTCTTGTTGCCAGCTGTTGTTTTTGTTTTAGTTTATTAATGAAAGCCCATCTCCTGCACCATTGAGTCCTCACCTCATCCCTAAACCCCCATCCCTGACAGAACGAACTGGCCAAAAGAGGACTCAGCAGAGATGCGCATCTTCATTTTTCCATCTCCCACCACCGGATTGTCCACCCGCCAGCTCCTTGCTCTGCCGGCACCGCCCAAGCGCCTTGCCCGGCCAGCGTGTCCCAAGCTCTTTGCCCTGCCGATGCCGCCTAAGCGTCTTGCCCTGCCGGCTTCCTCCTTGATGGGGTCTCTGCCCTGGCCCCCTGCCGGGACTCCAGAAGCACTAGAGCCTGCCTGGTCTGTCCCTCCGGCCCCGCCCTGGCTGTCTGTGGAGGTTCCTGTTTGGCCGGAGTCTCCCTGGTCCATGCCTCCGGCCCCGCCCTGGCCGTCTGCTGGGATTCCTGTTAAGCCGGAGCCTCCCTGGTCTGTCCCTCCGGCCCTGCCATGGCCGTCTACTTGGGTTCCTGTTCGGCCTGAGTCTCCCTGGTCCGTCCATCCGGCCCCGCCCTGGCCGTCTACTTGGGTTCCTCTTCGGCCTGAGTCTCCCTGGTCCGTCCCTCTGGCCCCACCCTGGCCGCTCGCTGGGGTTCCTGTTAGACCGGAGCCTCTTTGGTTAATTCCTGTAGCTCCACCTTGGCCTCCTGCCCAGACTCCTGGACTGCCAGAGCCTCGTGTCAGGGTTCTGTCATTTTGGTCTAGTTTATTCATGGTTTTGTGACAGAGCCCTGACACTCTCGTCATGTCTTTGTTTTCATGAGGGCTTCGAGTGTGCTCGAGCGGTGCGCTCTCGTCTGCGTGTCCTGTTTCCTTGTTTCATGTTGGAGCATGGTGTTCAGATCCCGGCACTCATGTCTTGTTGAGTTTCGGTTTCGTGTCAGGGTTCGGACACTCACGCTCCATGTTTTGTCTTGGTGTGGAAGCGTGCGGTCCCGAGTTCGCTATGGCCATGTGCTCTTCTGTCTGTGTGTGTTGTGTCTTGTGTTGTTGCACGCAGTTCGTGTTTTTATCGGCTGCGTGCTGTTATGCAATGCAGAACAGCGTCTTCTGCGTCTATGTCTTGTGCTGTGTAGCACGCAGCTTGTGTTTTTCATTGGCTGCATGCTTTCATGTTGTTTCATGTTTCATCTTGTGTGAACACGCGTCTTATGAGTATTCTCATTAGCTGTGTGTTCGTGTCTTGTTTCCCATCTCCTGAACCATTGAGTCCTCGCCTCATCCCTAGACCCCCATCCTTGTGTAGCGAATCAGCTCATAAGGAAATATGAATAATTAATCATAACTAGATATAATTAATTATAAATATTTAGATCCCTTAGCACTAATATATTGTCTATGTACCAACATATAATATACACTCTCGTTTAGATCATCAGAAGACTAATTCATAGATACTAAACATGGTAGGGTTACATATAT